TTTTTTGTAAAGACTCCCACATAAACATGCGACATGTAAGTTCCAGATCAACATAGGACTATTATTTTTGTGTGTGAATAATTTGTACATATTACCTGGAACTGGTTCAATTTCGTTTTAGTTTTATATTCTTTTACTCGTTTTTTTATGAGTGCAGCGTCGTACTGGGGATAACCAAAATCGCGTAGTTGCGGTGTAAGAATATCAACTACTCCATATAGTCCCGTGGGTGTTTATGAGAGGCGACAGAGGGAAATAGAAATAGGAGACGTACAACAGCATCTTCCTAATACACGTAACAACGCAAAATTAAACTGCGGTTGATAATACCTCTGCCAAGCGTGGCAACTATGTCAGTCTCCCCTATGACACAATCTATAGAGGGACCTATGTTCAGAAGTGGCTTTAATAGGCTGTAAATGATGAAATGGATGGACTATTTTGTTTATTCAGCCGCCTATGGTGACAGAAATTCTGTCCAAAACCACCAACAGCACCGACAAAATAACAGGCCGTGACGATGTGGCTACACTGCTACAACTATATGCTAAGTCGGACGCCTTTTCGGTGCTACAACCCAATGTATTTGTGTATAATATACACAAATACAGTTTATTACTGTTATATTGTTATTATTTTTTAAGTAATTTTAATATCAATAAATTATACGTTGTGATGTATGTGACAAAGTAAATAACTGCATCTCGTAGAAAGAACTAACGAATAATAAGTTGAGTTCTTTATTTTTAAAGAACTCAACTCATTATTCATTAGTTCTTACTTTGAATTATAGATATCAGTAAAACTCACAGTTATATAAATAGAGGTAAAACTGAACGTTATTATGTTTAATTATTGCCTTCTCTGACAATAGATGGCGTAAGTCACCATAAGTGTTGAGTTGAGTGTAGTGATGATCACTGATCATAAAACATGCTTTACCTAAGATGGTGATAGACGTTTGTTTCCTTTCCTTTCGTTTAAAATTAATTTTAGTGATAATCATGAAAATTTAGTTAATTTAACTCTAATAAAATTAATTAACTTCTATCTCTAAATCTTTATACCTATCTTTACTTGCTGTGAGGATTGAAATCGCATCATCTTTTATATGATTTAAGTATAGAGGGTCCTCTACCCTCCATAGACTTAAGCACAAACCATAAATTAATAAGATGTAGGTAGATACTAGGGCAAGGTCAGAAACTAGTAAGTCTCTAGTATATTGGTGTATATACTAGAGACTTACTATGCTAATAAGAATGGGCAAGGTTGACTTATTATCTTGGATGCTTTTCCTTTTAACCACGTCTTGATTCATCTCAGTATCAAGTACTTATAATGATTCTTTATGGTACACTGCTTCACAATATGTTGATGTATCACATTGCGTAGTTTTTGGGAGATTTTGATGGCAAGTTGAGCCAGCAGACAGTTGGAAATGGTATTTCAAGGCGCCTAGACAGATATCTTTCACCGTTTCTACTAATAGTGCACATACGCAGACATTTAATATACAAAACCGCAGAACTTTAACATATCAAGATCCACTTCAAACCATTATTTAAATAATAATATAGAAGCAGCAATCCGCTGCTGGTTAAGTTTCAGCCAAAAACTCTTTTTGGCAATAACAGATGATTGAATTGTGTTTTTGTTAATCGCGAGCTTCTTTTTATGTATTTTCTATTTTCAGTTAAGTATGTTCTAAACTGTAAATTATAAACCGGTGAGCTATTCAGAGTTTTGGACGGAAATTGACCGCCGGTGGTTGCAGCTCCGGTTTTATCTCTCTATTTTCTGTGATGTAAGTGCTGCTAGCCTATACGGCTCTTACAGATTCATCTGACACAGGGCTATTTAAAAAGGGAAAGGCACTAATGGGGATGAGGATGATGTTGGTTTATGATTTGGTATTGTTAGCAATCATCATGTCCCCTCTGTTGAGGTGTTTTGAGCTATCTAACCGCTGTCCGAGTGGGGGTGTGCAAACCTCCGCCTCTTAGCTTGTGTCGGTCGAACCAGTTTTATCGTCTGATTAATGGTTTGAAATGGATTTTGATACTAAAAGTGGCGCAATTTTGTGTGTTAAATATCTGCGCATGTGAACAATTGGAAACGATATACCAAGCGCTTCAATGATGATAAAAATCTGAGGTTTTTATATCCGCTTAGGGGTTGTGAGATATCGTCATCGACTATCCGCTGGAGTAAGCTGTCGCCAAAATCTCCCAAGAACTTCGCAATATGACGAATCAGCAAATTGTGAAGAGTCCTGTAAACAAAATAAAAGTCATACTAGGCTATATGGCCTAATACTTATGCCTGAACAAAAACAACGAGCTGTCATTATTAGATGTCAAATCGATATATGTTCCTGTATATGACAGTTAAAGTGCGCGCAAGAGAACTTTGCGCGCGATTGATGGCGTACTTAATGTTACCAGCTTAACTAATATTTTTTCCTTCATTTAATCTTATTACTAGAATTATATAATTATATCGAATTACATAAATAACCGAATTGATTACCAATTAAAAAAACTAATTTTCAGCTTAAACTTACAAAGACCTTTAAACCCTATATTTATGGTTTAAGATTCGCATAATAAATATATTTCTTGATTGTAACTTCCGTAAGTTTGACACTACAATTCACAAGTTTCTATGGTAAGATTTAAGTTAATATAAATTATCCTTTAAAAATATTTAAAAACGTTTAATTTATGCCAGCGAGTTTGAGAAAAAAAAACTAAAAAAACACGCTTCACTTTTATTTTAGGTATTCTTATCAGCAAATCCTTTTATTTGAAACCCATATCATGGGAATGCACAAAAAATAAGTAGTTCTCCATCTTTGGGAGTCCGCTATATTGGATTTAGAATATGCATATATGCAACATTTCCGCTCCATCGAAAACCTAAAAAATGATCAAATATAACTTCCAGTTTTTTTTACATAACTATAGGTGAAGATATTATATGCGTGTTAGAAATGACTATTATTATGATTAATGAACACTGATATTTTGTCGATAATGAATTTTTCAAAAAAGGTATTTTAAATATATTTATTAGAAAGAACGAAATTAAAAGTCCATGGAAACCTTGTAAATCTTTTATTGAGTACCTAGATCTATTTGTAAATTCGGTGTAACAACGGTCCTGCAGTGGGTCAACGCCTTTCATTCGCACATCTTCATCAAAATCCATACTAGAGGCTTCATCAGAATACTAGGATGTGTCGCCTGTGATATTGAATAATAAATTTATTACTTTTCGTTTAAGCTAAAACTAAAACATAATAAAAACGATACATTATAAATACGTGAAATTAATGACACGAGGAAACTAAAAATTAACAAATCGAGAAAATTAGGGAGTTTTATTTGTTATGGCAGCCCTAAAAATTACCTGTGAAATATGAAACGTGGGCTCTAACTTTGGAAAACGGTACTGTAGGCCCGTTATTGTCTTGTTATTCTTCACAAGCACGTTTGACCTTCGAGATAATATCCCTGCCAGCAATATTAATCACTTTTGGCATAATGATGACGATTACTTACTGCAAAAATGAATAAAAACACGACACCTATAGTGCCACCAACTTATCTGTGAACTGACAGCTTGGCGTTTCTGCGCTGAAGTGTTGCCAGTTCGGGAATATTCCCATCTAAGGGTCTTATATTCCTACATAGAGTCCACATACTAGGGTAATAAATTAGTCACGGAATAAAAAGACTAGAACACAGATTTAACAGATATATGTCCAAGAACAAGAAGAAACAAAAATATCATAATTGAACAATTTAAACTTTAATTAAATGATATGCCTTTTTACCGGGAGTTGTAATTTGCGTTCCTGTGGTTTATGCGGTTACCGGTTCTATAACTATTTTGGAAATGAATCCTTGACTAACATCTGAAAAAGAAATGAATTGCATTAACCAATCCATTTATCGGAAATAAGAAAGGAAGGTCAATCAGGTCTATAAAAGAGTATCAGCTGCTACAAGAAGGAACAAAACATAGCAATACTGACCAGTATTGCTATGTTTTGTTCCTTCTTTCAGCAGCTGATACTCTTTTATAGACCTGATTGAAAGACATTATCGGTGCTTACCCTCGAGCTTCTTCCTCACAAAAGTTTAATACTTATAAAATAATGTTTCGGGCATCACTTTTAATGGTTTTCGGCATTTTTTATTTTTCTATAAACTCTCAAAACAATGACGTATCGAGTGACATTTGATTAATTGGCGGGTGTAGTTCACAATTTTGCCGCAGCTGTCAGTTCACAGATAAGTTGGTGGGACTATAACACTCAGTTTTGACACCTGCCATAAACAGTAAGATGGCGGCACACGATTAGTTCCAATTTTGGCCGCGCGCAGAGTTATCTTGCGCGCACTCTACTATACTCTTTGGATATATGTATGTCACTGTCAAGTTTTAATAGGAGGGGTTTTGGCGGGAACTTGACCGGCGGCGGTTTGCTGCTCCTGTATTATAGTTTAAATAATAGTTTGAAATGGATTTTGGTATGCAAAAGTGATGTAAACTATTAGTGGAAACGGTGAAACAAGTGCTCTGATGGTGATGGATTCTCAAGATAAGCTGTTTGTCTGCATAGGCGCCTTTAGATACCATTGCCAACTGTCAGCTGTCTGCTGGCTAAAGTTGACGTCAAAATCTCCCAAGGGCTGCATAATGTGACACATCAACATATTGTGAAGCAGTGAACTATGAAGGATAATATAAAAAAGATAAGGCTGTATGGCTTAGTTTCTTTGCCTGCTCTCTCGAGCGAATAATAAAAACAACAACAATAACAAGACAAGCAAAGAGAATATAATCACTATCACTACGTTAGACAAGCCAATAGGTTATGTCATGTCATATCAAATAAATATTTAGCAAGCTATTGTAGGGTAAGAAAATAATAATATTTAGTTTTGTTATGGTTGAATGAAACATTAATAAAACGTAATAAAAAAACCATGAAGGCTCTCATACAGCGTGTTATGAATGCCAAAGTAACCGGTACGATATCTAAAAGTTTATATTTATATTATCAAAATATTAAAGTTCTACCTGAGGTTATTTTAAATTCTATACGCATATTTTATCACTTTTACTTTAATAATATGAAATAAAGATATAAAATCTGTTTCAAAATTAAACACAAATATTTTTTAGTTAATGGTGAATTAATCAGCAGCATAGAGCAAGGGGCTTGTATATTAATAGGTATTAACAACAATGACACCATAAAAGATATGGAGTACATGTAAGTATGAGGTTTGATGATATTAATATCATGTTCACTTTTTAAAGAAAAAAGAAGACAAAACAAAAAGAAATAGTAGAAATAGATCTAACAGTGCCATTAATATTAATATAAATCATCATTAGATGGACATAGGCCTTGCCACGAATATACCAGGATAAACTTTCCAATATGGACCATCGACTTAAATGCCCATATTTTTTGTAGATAGTACTCACTAAAAGAAATCGTTTTGCAAAGTTTCAATATGCGGAAACGCGTACTTTTTGAGAAAAAATTATTGAACATCAATTATTTTTGCAATATTTATGTCAATTCCTACGGTAAAACTGACACTATTTTGTATTGTCATTGTCATCGTCGGTAGGGATGTTGATTATTCCCCAAAAAGATTGATTCGAATCGTAAGATGATGTATCGATTCACAAAAAAATCTATTTCTAATATATTGATATTTTTTCATGTTTGTATTTATAATGGAAATATAAATCCATTTTATGAGAACAAAATCCCCTTCATCAGACTTAAAATAGGGTGTCCAATGAGCACACATTCCATCTGATGGTAAATGAATGCTGTGATCCAAGATTAAAAGCCACTTGAACATGTAAAACTGTCTCTGGTTCCAGGTTACTCACTATATGAAACACAACAGCATTATGCAGCTATTTCATGTTGGTATTCTGTGTTACCGTGGCTCTTCTCCAGTTGAGCCAACCAATATATGCTGTAGCCGCAATACGCTGTAGCATCGCTTTACGGAGTATAAAACTATGTACCGTCTTAATTTTCATAGTCTGATTACATATTTCCATTGAAGTAATAACATACTAGAACAGACATCCCGAACAAAATCTTAGTGACAGTGCAGTGCTAGTGAAAAATGGCACAGAGCACCTTTTTCCACAGACTAAGTAAGTTTGTGCCTGCAGGCTCTAACATATGTTGCAAACAACCATGTCTCAGTGTCTCTTCTAGTACATGTACATATTACTTCAATGCTTATTTCTTGTTTTAGTGTTAGAAAAATACTAAGCATAAGAATATTTGACGATGAAAATAACAAAAGATGGCAGAAAAGCATTGTGGATAAAGAATTTGAAATACTGTGTGTCAGTCAATTCACTCTCTACAATACATGGAAGGTTTGCAATTTGTTAATTTTCTTTTTGTATAATATGTAAATAAAAAGTGAAGTTACAGCCTATTATTTTCCACTGCTGGGTATAGGTCTCCTCTCATTTCTGAGACGGTTATGGTACAATTAGCTGCACCGGGTGTGTTAACGGTTTACAGGTCCTGGAACTTTTTTTTAATTTCTCACACATGCAAGTTTCCTGAGGGTATTTCATGAGCTCCGGCGGGGATCGAACCCTGGTTGCTCACGTACTGTGAAATTTAGTGAGCCTTAGTCACTAAACTAGATCTTGCTCTTTATTTTTATTTATATGTGTCAATGTCGAAAAATCAATGAATGTTCTACCATCCTTTACAAGTACATTTTTCAGAGATTTTTATTATATTAGTACTTTATCTATCTTAATCACTTAGGCATCTGTCTGTCCATCTGAAACAGATGCCAACATATGGTAATTAAAATTGTGGTAATCAATCACAGATGTGAGATCAAAAATTCAAATTGTTGATTTATTGGAATGTTTTGGGTTCAAAAATGAAAATTTATATTGAAATCATCATGGGATATCAATTGAACTCTTTTTCAATTCTCTTTCTTGGTGATGATCGATGACGCTCTTTGATTATCTTTAAAAATAAAAATGTTAATATTTTTTTCTTCAAACGCATCTCCGAAAGTTCTACACTTCTGACGCATCGCTGCTTGCGAATACGCGCAGGTTCTATAAATGTTTTAAAAACTTTTTGAGCAACATCAAAGTATGGCCAGGTAGAGCCAGGTAGTTTTCATTTAATAAATTAAAAATAAATTAAATGAAAATTATGGATATAACGAATTACGGCGGCCAATCTCAACGGAAACTAGCCGCTTGCGCATGACAGAATTATAGTTTTTTTTTTTATAGAATAAGGGTGCCAAACGAGCACAGTCCACCTGATGGTAAGTGGCTTCTGTGGCCCATGACATCTATCATCTATCCTCAGTTAAGAATCCAAATGCAGATGCGTCGTCAACCCTGAGTACTAAGATGGAATGCCTCGTTTCCAGTAAATAAGGTCTCCGGTTTTCTAAACTCACAATACGAAACACAGCAACATAGTGCGCAAGTGCAAGCACTATCACCGACCAGAAATAGAGTATTTATGTACCCACTGAAAATAGGAAGAAGGAATCATTAACCTACATATTTGTTGCTTACAGGGCAATAAACCCGATTTCCACAGAGCAATGGGAGCTGATCAATCTAAGGAATTCTATGAGAAATTTATACAAATGCTAAAAGATAAATATAAGGCTGAAAAAGTGAAAGGTAAGATAACAAAGGTTTAAGTATTTTTCTGAATTACTGTCCACTACCCTATATGTGCCGTGTAGTGGCGGTTAAGAATATCCACTACCCCATATCTTCCCGTGGGTGTCGTAAAAGGCGACAAAGAGAAACAAGCAGGAGATGGGCAGCAGCATCTTCCTGATAACAACAAACTTACAATAACAAAACTGCGGTTGCCAACCCGCTCGCCAAGCGTTGCAAATACCCCCCTATGATGAGAGTAACAAAGAAACGGCCCCCAGTCCCCGGTGGCCCCGCTATTCCTGGCTACGGTGGCGACCATGGTAACGGCAGGGCAAGGGGGTGCTAAGAATCTCCGGTGGAGGTTCGGTTGCCAACTAAGACGACTCGACCTGGCAACATACAACGCACGCACCCTGAGGACTGACGAGAAGATCATGGAGCTGGAAGAAGAGATAGACAAGTTACGCTGGCATATTATAGGATTATTCGAAGTCCGAAGAGAGGGGGAGGACACGGTAATCCTCGAATCCGGCAACTTGCTCTATCACCGGGAGGGCGACCATCTGTCCCAAGGAGGTGTCAGATTTATCGTCCATAAGTCTCTCGTTAACAACGTTGTAAAGATTGAGAGTGTGTCGACGAGGGTTGCGTACCTTATACTCAGAATCACCAAACGGTATTCGCTGAAGTTCATACAGGTTCACCCGCCAACCTCGGCACACCCCGATGAGGAGGTGGAGGAAATGTATGAGGATATCTCTAGAGCCATGCATTCCTCCAAAACCCTGAGCTGAGCTGTCTGTGAGCTGAAAGTAGGGAAATTTGGAATAGGGCAACGGAACCCAAGGGGCCAGCAGCTGGCCGAGTTCATGAAGAAAGAGGGACTCTTTATGATGAACTCTTTCTTCCAGAAGCGGTCCCACAGGAAGTGCACCTGGTCGAGCCCCGACGGTTCCACAAAAAATGAGATTGACTTCATTAAAACGACTAGACGACAACTGTTCAGTGATGTCTCCGTGATCGCGAGGGTGAAAACTGGTAGCGATCACCGAATGGTTACAGACACACTGAAACCTTTCAGCTCGAGTTACAAAACCGTTTTCCGTGCCTAGAAGACTGCAATGAAGTGGACGATATGAATGACAAGCTCGTGGAAACTGTCCATGCGGTCGGAGCTAAGTTCTGCAAGACCCGCCGCAGAAGAACACAAAAACTCTCCGATCACACTTTGAATCTCATGGCTGTTAGACGGGAGATGAAGCTACATTCTTCAACAGATTTGACAGCATACAGGCAACTGAACAGACAGATCTCCAAATGCATGCGGCGGGACTTACGCAACTTCAATACAGCTTGTATTGATGAAGCGATCTAGCTGAACCAAGGCTCCACAGTCTTTGCCAGAGATCTGTCTGCCAGAAAGAGCCAACTGTCAAAACTGAAGACCGAGTGTGGCGGCATCGTTTCCGGGGCACCTGAGATTTTGAGTGAGATTGAGAGGTTCTATGGGCAGCTGTACACGTCATCGTTGGAGCCACACGCAAGTGTGAGTAACGATCCAAGAGCGAGTCTTATCCGACACTATGCCGAAGATATCCCGGACGTCAGTCTGAGCGAGATTAGAATGGCTCTCCAGCACCTTAAAAACGGCAAGGCCCCAGGCGAGGATGGAATACAGCGGAGCTACTGAAAGCGGGTTGAAGAGCGGTACTTGAAGTCCTTCAGAAGCACTTTAATTCTGTCCTCCATGGTGGCATTACACCGGAGGCGTGGAGCAGAGGTGCGGTGGTCTTGTTCTTCAAGAAAGGTGACAACGCTCTCTTGAAGAACTACAGACCGATTTCGCTTCGGAGCCGCGTCTACGTGCTGTTTTCGAGAATCATTACGAATCGTCTCGCGCGCAGACTTGACGACTTTCAGCCTCCCGAACAAGGCGGTTTCCGAAAGGGCTTTAGCACCATAGCCCACATGCATACCCTTCGGCAAATTGTACAGAAGTCCGAGGAGGACAATTTGCCACTATGTCTGGCGTATGTGGACTATGAGAAAGCCTTTGATTGCGTCGAAATTTGGGCGGTGCTGCAGTCCCTTCAGCGGTGCCAAGTTGACTGTCGGTATATCGAAGTGTTGAAGTGTTTGTACAGTAGAGCTACGATGGCTATCCGAGTACAGAACCAGAGTACGAAACCTATCCAATTGCAGAGAGGTGTAAGACAGGGTGATGTTATATCCCCGAAACTCTTCACCGCTGCATTGGAAGACGTTTTCAAGCTTCTGGACTGGAAAGGATACGGTATTAACATCAATGGCGAGTACATCACTCACCTTCGATTTGCCGACGATATAGTCCTTATGGCAGAATCGCTGGAGGACCCAACGAATAGGTCTTAGGATGAACATGGACAAAACAAAGATCATGTTTAATGTCACACCTATGCCGGTAGTTGTTGGGAGCACTAAGCTCGAAGTTGTTGACGAGTATGTTTACCTGGGACAAATAGTCCGACAAGGTAAGTCCAACTTCGACCGGGAGGTCAATCGACGGATTCAACTCGGATGGGCAGCGTTCTGGAAACTACGACACATCTTCTCGTCAGACATACCTCAAAACCTTAAAACGAAACTGTACAACCAGTGCGTGTTGCCAGTGATGACTTACGGATCTGAGACGTGGTCTTTAACTGTTGGCCGTATGAGGAAGCTCAAGGTCGCTCAGCGAGCTATGGAGAGGGCTATGCTCGAGGTTTCTCTGCGTGATAAACTTAGATATGTATACTCATTAACTTAGAAATGAGTATATCCGCAGTAGAACCAGAGTAACCGATGTAGCCCAACGGATTAGTAAGCTGAAGTGGCAGTGGGCCGGCCATATAGCTCGAAGAACCGACAACTGATGGCGAAGAAAGGTTCTCGAGTGGCGGCCTCGTACCGGTAAGCGAACTGTAGGGCGACCCTCACGAGATGGAGTGACGACCTGGTAAGACATGCAGGAAGTCGATGGATGCAGGTGGCTCAGGACCGTGCTTTGTGGCATTCCTTGGGGGAGGCCTATGTTCAGCAGTGGACTTGAAAGGTTGTAATGATGATGATGATGATGATGACCCTATATCTGTCCATGGGTGCTATAAGAGGCCGACAGAGGGATGTGACACAAGAGATGGTCAGTAGCATGTACCTGATAACCACTCAAAATAATAAATACTGCGGTTACCAACGTGTCTTTACCAAGCGTGGCGTCTATATTAAATCCCACATTAGACCTATTTCAGATTTATTGATTTGTCATAAGACTCAAATTATATGCAACAAATTTCAAAGTGAGCTAAACGCGAGTGCTGACGCGCGTGGCGTGCGCGTAGCGGGTGCGTGTCGTCGGAACGCGCCCTAATGGTTAACTGGGAGAGAATGCCTTAAGGCATTAAGTCCGCCATATATACGATTTTTCTTTTGTGCATAAAAGATTAAATAAATAAATAGAAATACGTGTCTACGGAACGCCGAATCCACTTACCATCAGACGGCCTGTATGCTCGTGTGAACCTAATAGCCTGTTAATTTTCACTTGCTAACACGTGCTAACTTGTATATTATTTTTCGTTTCAGATGGTTTGTTTGGTGCTTACATGCAGGTGTCCATACAGAACGACGGTCCTGTCACGTTGGAGATAGAATCACCTGGACATAACAATGAGAAAATACGCAGTACTCCTGTAGAAAACCAGAAGACCTTGTGTAATGACGAAGATATAAAAAGATAATTTGCCTTAATGTATACAAAGATTCGTAAATACATTAATAAATTATTGTTATTCATTTTATTTAAAAAAAATATTCCATAGGATAGAAGATTCCATGTTTCACTTTACTTTTAGTATTTCCATCCATCCATTACATCCTATAAAAGTCCACTGCTGAACATAGGCCTCCCCCATAGATTGCCTCATAGGGGGGATGTTGCCAAAGTTGCCACGCTTGACAGACGAATTGGTGACTGTGTTTTTTTTATTTTTTATCAGGAATAGCTGCTGCCCATCTTCTGTTTCAATTTTCGTCTGTCACCTCTTACGACACCCACGGAGCGCTATGGGTTACGTATTAACTTATCTAATCTGTGATATGGGGTAGTGCATATTCTTACACCGCCACTACTCTGAAGTTTGGGTATTTAATTAATTGCAATAATTAAAATAATATTATACGTGGTAGAGCCATGCCGCATCTATATATGGTGGTAGCTCTAATGAGTCGGTTTTACCGAGGAAGGACCACGCTCTTACAGAATGCCAGCGTAAAATAGCAGCTTAATGCTGCTGTGTTTTGTATGATGAGTGTAGAGATCTGGAGACGCTTTTTACTGGATAGGAATCATTTCGTCTTAGACCTCAAGGGTGACAACACATCTGCATTTATTGATTCTTAATTGATATTATTGATGTGTGCTCGTTTGTCACCCTTATTCTACAAAAAGAACTGCTGTCATTTTTGGGTACTCGTTTATTTATTGTAGTATATAGATTTTTTGGCGATACTTCCTACTTAATATTCCCGACGTTTCGGCACCCATGGTCACGGGAGGGGACTGAGGCGTATGACGTCCCAATGTCATAGTTAACCACGGCTACCTCCAGATTAAAAATTATTAATTTTTGTTCCGATCTACGCAGTATGAACTTACAGTATCATGAAGTCTTGCAGTTGTATGCTTGGGTTGGGATTTCATTTTATTAATTATGGGATCCCAAGCAGATGGTAGCACCCAACCATCTTCTCTATTGAAATTAGGATGTTTTTTGATTTCAATAGCCTCGCGAATCATAGTCAAAAGCATAACCAAAGTCAAAAGTAAAGTTTAACAGTGGTAGAGCCACGCAGCAGTTTTTGCTGTTGCACGTATGGGCTGGCTCGAGCCGGGTTGGTACCACGACCTCACAGAATACCGGCGTGAAGTAGAAGCTCTGCTTCTGCGTTTCGTCTGGTAAGTGCAGGTGGCCGGAGGCTCAATTCCCCCCCTCCCCCCCCCCCCATCAACATGGTAGCGGAATTACACGTTAGACCCCCAGGAGGGTATCAGCACCTCTGGAGAATCCCTCGCTGAGCATCCACGACCATGTTATTCCACTCCTGAGCTTGGGTATTCTGGGGGGGGGGGGGGGGGGGGGCAAAATTCCGCTCAAAAACATAACTGCTCGGGGCAAACTGAGCAACAAGACCAAGGTCGACCACCATCAGGGGACTTCACTCGAACCTAAACGCCGTCCAGTACCATCTCGAGACGGCGAAGCCGGCCTTGATCTTTCTGACCGAGACGCAGGTGTCCTCTCCGGCTGATACTTCGTATCTCTCCTACCCGGGGTAAAAATTGGAGCACTCCTTTGTGCCTCGGGCTGGAGTTTGCGTGTATGTCAGAGAGGACATCTGTTCTCGACGCCTCGGCAGTTTTGAAGGTTCGGACCTATCCATCCTATGGCTACGCGTAGACAGCGACGAACATCCGCGCGTTTACGGGTGCCTGTATAGGTCCCATAGCGGTAATGCCGAAACAAACCGACTCATTGACCACGTCCAAATGGCTACAGATTCTTTGCTACAACAGGTCCCATCCGCAGAGATCGTGATCCTTGGCGATTTTAACGCCCACCACGCCGAATGGCTCGATTCACGTTTAACCAATCATGCGGGGAGATCTGTTTATGACTTTGCTTTGACATATGGTCTGTCACAACTGGTTACTTCGCCTACGCGGATTCCAGATGTGGAGGATCATACACCTTCCCTGTTGTACCTTCTGCTGACCTCTCATCCGGACGGATATCAGGTTTCCGTCGATGCCCCTCTTGGCTCTTCGGACCATTGTCTGATCCGGAGTGTGGTGCCACTCACGCTCCCCTCGCGGTTGCGTTCTGCAGGTTGCCGTCGTGTTTGGCATTACAGGTCGGCGGATTGGGACGGAATGCGGTCTTTCTTTGCATCCTACCCATGGGGGCGGGTTTGCTTCTCGCCGGATGATCCCAGTGCTGTTGCTGACTCTGTCACTGATGTGGTGCTACATGGAATGGAACTATTTATTCCATCATCTGTGGTACCCATCGGAGGCAGATCTCAGCCTTGATTTGTTCGCTCCTGTAAGACTGCATTACGCAGTAAGCAGGAGTGTCATCAAGCCTGGGCTGCGGCTTCGGCGACTCGGGATGTAAACACCAGCACACTTAAAAATAAGTATAACTTCGTCTCCAGGTCCTTCAAAAGAGTTATTGCCAAGGCAAAGTCAGAGCACATAGGCAGAATTGGCGAGAAACTAGTTCGCCTTCCTTTGGAAACCCGTGCATTCTGGTCTCTCGCCAAGGCTGTCCAAGGGAATTTCTGTAAGCCATCACTACCATCTCTGCACAGAGAGGACGATTCACTGGCCCAAGACGCAAAAGACAAAGCCGACCTTTTAGGCTCCCTTTTTGCGTCCAACTCGACTCTTGATAACGGGGCGAAAACACCGCCGACCATCCCGCGGTGTGAGTGCTCCATGCCGGATGTGCTGTTCTCACAGCGCTCGGTTCGCAAAGCACTCCTCTCTCTGAACATCCAGAAGTCGAGTAGGCCTGACGGAATCCCCCCAATTGTGCTGAGGACGTGTGCTCCGGAGTTGGCACTGGTCCTAACGCGTCTTTTCCAGTACTCCTACTCCCAAGGCGTAGTCCCGAATTCATGGAAGACAGCTTTTATCCACCCGATCCCTAAAAAAGGCGACCGCTCAGACCCGTCCAACTATAGGCCTATCGCGATCACCTCCTTGTTCTCCAAAATAATGGAATCAATTATTAACTGCCAGCTCATGCGGTACCTTGAGGATCACCAGCTGATTAGTGACCGCCAATACGGTTTTCGTCGGTGTCGATCAGCTGGTGATCTTCTGGTCTACGTTGGCGTTGGCCGTTAGTTTGGACATTGCTAAGGCCTTCGATCGGGTTTGGCACAAAGCGCTTCTTTCGAAGCTCCCTTCCTATGGGCTTCCCGAGAAATTGTGCGATTGGATCACCAGCTTCCTTGCAGATCGGAGCATCAAGGTCGTTGTAGACGGTGCATGCTCCGACTACAAGCCTATTAACGCTGGTGTTCCACAAGGCTGTGTGCTATCACCAACGCTGTTTCTTCTGCATATCAATGATATGTTGCTATCTGGTAACATTCATTGCTATGCGGATGACAGCACTGGTGATGCTCTATACACCGGCCGTGCCAATATTTCTCGGGAAAACGTTGCCGAGTACCGGAACAAACTTGTGTCTGAAGTCGAGTCTTTGCTGAACAAAGTCTCGGATTGGGGACGACTAAATCTAGTCCAGTTTAATCCTCAGAAGACACAAGTTTGCGCGTTTACCGCTAAACCCCTTTGCCGTATCTCCTCAGTTTGAAGGCACTCCCCTTCTTGCCTCAGCCAGTACCGGAATCCTCAGAGTCGACATATCGAGTGACGTGCAGTTTCGTGGTCACTTGGAAGAGAAGGCCAAATTGGTCTCTAAAAAGCTTGGCGTGCTCAGCAGAGCGGGACAGTATTTAATGCCGGCACACTGCCTGCAACTTTACAAGGCACAGGTTCGGCCTCACATGGAATACTGTTCCCATCTCTGGGTAGGGGCTCCCCAGTGCCAGCTCCTTCCACTTGACCGCATCCAGTGCAGAGCGGCTCGAATCGTCGACGACCGAGTCCTTTCCGATCGGCTCGATTCATTGGCACTGCGAAGAGATGTTTCATCCCTTTGCATTTTCTTTCGCATCTACCACGGGGAGTGCTCTGAGGAATATTTCGGATTAATCCCAGCCGCCAAATTTCACGAACGCACATCGCGGCAGAACTCCCGATACCATCCACACCATCTGGATGATTGGCGGTCCACCACTGTGCGATTTAGAAGATGTTTTCTTCCTCGCACGACTTCCTTGTGGAATCGATTACCATCAGCGATTTTTCCGGACAGAATACGACTTAGGGACCTTCAAGGGAGCGTACTCCTTTTTAAAAGGCCGGCAACGCATCTGCGATTCCCTCCCTGGTGTTGCAGCTGTTCATGGGCGGCGGTAGTCACTTACCATCAGGTGAGCCGCATGCTCGTTTGCCCCTTCTCCTATAAAAAAAAGTCAACCTGGAATGTAAATATCAGTTTTACCAGCTCGCAATGTTCCTTTACCGACTAACGAGGAGTCCATGAAAATAATACCAAACCCAAACTCCGAATACCGTTAATGAAAAGCAGTATTACAATAAAAGTTCTAGGTTATCTAATATGGGCTCTGGTCTCACCGACCCGCCAACGCACAGTCACTACGGACATAACTGCCGAAATCAAACCATTAGCAGTAGCAGCGTCTAAATAAAGTGTCGTTTAGTACTATGATCATATATCTCTATAACAAACGTGATGAGTTTTTTTTTTATAATATTAAAGTGACGGACGGACAGACCAATTTCAAACGTTACAGGGGTGTACAGCTGCTTGGTAGTACGAGATAAGTTTATGAATATCTAAACACTATCAACGCATAATAACTACTTAACTAGAAATGAACCAATATTAAGTATAAATAAATTAGTAGAACAAACGCAGCGGGAAAGCGGTAATATTAATAAAACAAAAGACAAATGTTAATAAAAAAAACTTTATTTTGAAAAAATGGTTATTATCTATTAACAGTTATTAAAATTAGGCCAGTGAATTTGCAATACAATGTTAGTACTTTACAACACGACTTGTGGCCTACGCTACATTTAGACAATCATTGACATTAGATTTTTAAATAAACTAACACATAGTTTGATCCGTTAACAGATAATCGACCAGGAATTCAAATCAGTTTTCACAATTAATTCTACACGAGTAGAAAATAAAATAAAAAAAGTATAAACAGACAAAATAAATGCAATCTAATAAACCCTCTATTTAAATATTACGATATAGAATTCAACAAACGATATTAAAAAAAGTTATAAATAGTGTCGAATATTATAAGTTAATTGAATGTTATCAATTAGCTGGAAGTGCCGCATGATTACTATTTCTATACGGTGTTATATAGACATATAATCACTTTTGTACGTTTACACAAATGCCTACACAATCACACAGTTAATTCTTATAGAATTTTCCATCATATACACCTCTCAAGGCACTGTTAATTTTGGTATATTGCTGATACGTATCCTCACTCCTAGCTCGCAGTATAATTGCGTAAACATCTTCAAAGTGTGCAAGATTACAATAGTTCTTACAAGTTAGCCAGGCGGGCGCTTCGTGTTCGCGGGTAATGCAAACGTGTGTTCCGAACACTTGTATCGGTGTTCGCATTGCCAGCGATTATGAAGAGCCGCACTACAAATCTATTCATTTCGTTACAACTATCGAAATATTACTATTACAAAAATATCTATAATCTATGCTAAATTATTCGAATGAAATGTTACTGGGACAGGCTAAGGATAAACAACATAATATACCCTTTCAGTTTGAATGGACGTGGTTCGTGCGTTCGCCGACTGAAATTTAGTGGGTTGAATGGAAAAAAAGTACGCAATATAATAATTTCAAATACGCTTTGCCGCACCGGGAATAACTCGATATGTAATATAAGTTACATTAAAGTGTTGGTGGTTTAGGTGCCGTTTTGACGGCGCTTGGTCGAAAGTTAAGGTTGGCCGCAGTTAATTCGTTGAGGTGGTAGAAGGGGGTGGGGGGAGGCGTGGTGATGATCTACCAGAGGCCCGAGGAGTATCCACCGGGCGGTACGCGGTTGTGGAGGATGCTGCTGCTACCGTTTACTGACGTTACCATGTTGATCTGGCCGTTCAGCGACTTGTATCCGTCACCGGTGATGGGGTTGCCTTCTGAAATGATGAAAATAACCAATTAATTTCTTATTCTTATACAGCTACGTATACAACTACCGATTCTATTTTACTCTAAATAATTTTGATCAAATCATTTAAGACATGTCATTCATGATTTACAAGTTTAAATCTAATAACTATATAAAACTTGAATGTTATTCGAACCCAGATATAATTTTTATAAAATATAATAGTAATAATATTTAATACAAATCATGCAATGCAACAAAAGAATAAATTCTTAATTTTCTAATGTATTCTAAACAACTTATATTGGGAAAGTTATTATTATTTTCGATAATAACAATATCATAAAAATTTCTACTGATATAATGGCTATTTGCTAATTACAGTTACATTAACTAACTACACGAAAAGGCAACGCCTATGGCATAGAGAGATACAGAGTAGAATAGAAAATAAAGAAAATGCGCCGCAAATACAATAAATTAATAACTAATTAGACAAATAAAAGAACTATCATATTATAATATAACAACATCAAAATAGGATCAAAAGCTGTTTTCAAAATACTAAGCTGTAAATTAATAAATATTACGAGTACGTATACGGTTACAAATATCTCGAAAATAAATTAACACAACGATTTTACTCAAAATTTTCGAAAAGCTAACAACAGAGGGGTAGAGAGTGCTTAATTCAGTGACTTGAAGGAATCGTCTCGAAGACCTTTAAATACGAGCAGCAAGCAAACAGATTTTTTTCTAAAGTACAAATAGATAACAAAAACAAGCTTTTGTCTCTCTATATATATACTGTTCTAACATAAACTCTTTATTAGTGCAATAGGGTGTCTCCTTCAGTCAAAATTAAACACCCACCCAATTCTCTTTGGCGAACATAGTCTAGATAATACGTCTTAGGTTTGAAGTCCTCTGCATGCCGATTTAGTTTAAACAGGTAGCCGGGCACGTGCTTTGGGAATATTGGAGGGAAACCAGTCAAAGTAAAGGGACCCGGAGCTTTAGGTGTGTCAAGTAGAGTGCAATCGGGTATGGGGCCGTCTCTTTCATACTTAAAGAGACTTTCTGGCGGATTTGTATTCGCTACGATAAATGGATCTATTGGTCCATCTAAAGTTGGTATTGGATTGTACTTGTAATCAGGTTGAGGTTTTTCTCCTAGAGCTGATGTCATACCGACGAAAGCATACGGAGGTAATGGATGATAGGGAATATGATGGTCCTGATTTGGTTCCAGATAATGTTGGGCTGGGAAAGGAGGCCAATGCCGGTCGAGTACCGGGCGAGGGGATAATGAATTTGGGTCTATATTCGGATGAACTTTAAAGGGGTCGTCGGTTTTTAGACCCAATAAAACATGGGGGGACTGATGACATGTGGGTCTGGGCTTGATGGTTGACTCAACGTAATACTGTGCGGGTTTTGGCGGCCAATGCCGCGTGAAATAACGATGAGTTGGCTGAGGGTTGAGGAAGTCTAGGTCAGGATGGTCGTGTTCGTCAGCACCTCGCAGGCTGGCAGCAGGGTGGCGACGTCGCGGCGGCGGCACTGCAATCCCATCGCCAGTCACCGGGTTCCTCTTCGGTGGTGCGTACGATGCTGACCATTCACAGAATAAACGATTTTCATTCAAATCGCTATCTTAGGTTGGGACCGATGTTTTTTTTTTAAATAATACTGTTAAATCTGATGGTACAACAGTTTTAATAAAACATTGATCCCATTTGCTTACAAGATTTTCGTCTGAATTGCAAAGTTTTATTTGTACATTCTTTATTGTTAAATCTTTTTTACTGTGTCCATGCTTCTTAAAAAGCAAGCCACAGCGTCAATTTTCAGTAACTTTGAATGATAATAATATTTATGGGGAATATATAGTTTTCTATATATTATTATTTATAAGATAGCATAAATCAGAAATATAAGAAGCTTAACCTAGCGTGCATGAGTGCCAAATAATGTGGGTTTGGACACGCGAGCTTCGAGCACCGCTGTACTGTGTCCAGAACTCTTTAAAACATTATTATTAGATACATTAGATACATATTATATAAAAGATTATTCAGAGCTCTGTTCACAGTTTTAACTGTTCAAAAATGGAACGGAATTGCAAAGCTTCACAGTATTTCCGTAAGGTGTTTACAAAAAATTTAACGTCCGGAAACATTAATAGTCACCGCTTGCATTATCTAATAGCTTTTTAGTGATATAACTTTTTTAATTATACAACCTGCAAAAATACATAGTACCTATATGAATAATATTATAATTAAAGCTTTGACCGACTTTTGGTTGAATTATCATCCGTTCCACTATCAAACTATTCTGAATTGAGCCATTTGTCCCAGTGTTGCTACACGTGCTCATTTCGTGCCTACATCTGGATCGACTCACAGTGATCGGCGGGCTCCGTCTCACCTCGGCTGGGCGTCGAAGTAGCGCTGCCGTTCACCATCTTGGAAGGCGAGTGGGAAGGGCTGCCGTTCATCTCAGAGTCTCCGAACTGGATATGGCTGCGAATGGTGTCCGTTACCATGGGGGAGACGGAAGTGGTGGTAGCCTGCAATATTTGAAATTAATGTCTTAAAATTTAGAAACAAATATACTGAATCTAAGCTGTTTTATGTATTAGAATGTAATTCTGTTATTATTCATTCATCATGACTCCGTAAAAGTCAGCTGAATACGAGCCTCTTACATTGTAGATAGGACTTTTACCAAATCGTTACGCTTGGCAGCTGGATTGACTTTTTATATCTTTGACAGTGCTTCCCGTTGGTGATAAGGCTATATTACCATTTTTGGGAAACCATAAGATCTTTTTGGCATATTATAAAGTGGTAGAGCCACGCCGCAGCTTTTGCTGTCGCACGAATGGGCCGGCTCGAACCGGGGTAGTACCACGACCTCACAGAAAACCAGCGTCAAGTAGAGGTTTACCTCTGCGTTTCGCTTGGTGAGTGCAGGTGGCTGGAGGCCCTTTTTACTGGAAATGAGGCATTCCATCTTAGTCCTCACGGGTGACAACGCATCTAAATTTTGATTTGTAACAGAGGATAGATGTAGATGTCTATGGGCCGCAGCAACCACTTACCATCAGGTGGACTGCGTGCTCGTGTGTCACCCTTATCCTATAAAAAAAAATCTAGTTGCCTCTTACGACAGCTACGGAACGAAATGGGGTGGTAGATTCTCTTTCGCCGCTATCATGAGGAATTTTTTGTTGAATAAAGGCGACAACCGACCACACAGTCCACCTGATGGTAAGTGGATGCTGTGACCCATAGACATCTACATCTATCTTCGATTAAGAATCAAAATGCAGATGCGTTGCCACCTCTGAGGAATTAGATGCAATGCCTCGTTTCCAGTAAAAAGGGTCACCGGTTCTCTACACTCACCATAGGAAACAGCAGCATATAGCTATTTTTACGCAGGTATTCTGTGAGAGCGTGGTCCTTCCCCGACTGAGCCGACCCATGCGTTCTACAACCATAATATGCAGCTATAGTTGCAGCATGGCTCTATTACTTACAAAATAGGTTATTCTGTAAATTATCTTTAGTTAAAATTAAATTATTATTATTATATATAAAAAAAACCTCTGCGTATGAATAGCTTGTCATATAAGATTAATGAAGAAGTTGACAGTCCACCCGATGGTAATAACCTGCAAAAACTTCAAACAATGAACTCCACGAACTGGCTGTCATCCCTGAACTCATAGCTTGTATTTGTTAACTCCCTTACCCTTTCAATCGACATGCTTCTTAAAAAGCAAGCCACAGCGTCAATTTTCAGTAACTTTGAATGATAATAATATTTATGGGGATTATATAGTTTTCTATATATTATTGTTATAAGACAGTACCGTAGCGTAAATCAGAAATATAAGAAACTTAACCTAGCGTGCATGAGTGCCAAATAATGTGGAAAATAATGTAGAAACTACTGCTTGGGGGCAAAAATAAGCTACCAACCTACAAAGGCTTTTAGGCAGAAAAATAGCCTTAAGGCCTAAAATAGATGTTACCGTTACCGGTACAGCCTATTAAAGTCCACTACAGAACATAAGCCTCCCCCAAATTTTGCCTCATATTTTTTTCCATAGGTGCAACGCTTGGCAAACGGGTTGGCAACCGAGGAGCAAATGAGGAGACGCTGCTGCCCATCTCCTCATTTTTTATCCTCGGTAGCCTCTCAATACACCCATGGGACGATATGGGGTAGTGGATAATCTTACACTGTCACTCGCACACGGTAGCACTAAAAAATAGATGTATAAAATCAAAATTCTAAAGCAACCCGAAAATACTCACAAGCTAAGAACAATTTTACATCATGAAAGTTAGACCGAGACGCTTGCATTCATTATTCACTACTTCATTTAGGATTTCATGAAATTGCTCTAGTAAGGAAGCCGTAGAAAGCTGAAAGCCCCGCATACGAATAATACATTGGTATCTTGTATCCTTTATATAATTTCCGTCAAATTTTAGTGAAATACATCCAGCCGCACAAGAACTTTTACATTTTTAATATTAGTGAGTGTAAGTTCACCTGTCCGAATAGCCTGGAGTGCGTGTCACGGGGGCGGGTGGGGGTGTCACGAATGACACGGGGACGTGTCGATCCGTTTTTCACTGGGCTGTTGTCAGGCGAGTCCGAGCTGAAGATCTCGGCGATGCAGCTCTTCGGGGCGTTAGGAACTCTGCAATGGGAGAGGAAGATATTATACACTAGATATTTTTATATTTAACTAGCTGACCAGGCAGACGTTGCTCTGCCCTTTCCTACGACCATTTGCTTTCCTAAAAAAACACCTGAAATTAGCAATAAAAAAATTGAGTATCACTTATAGGGATAAAAACTATCCTATCTCTCAAGTTAGACCAAACTGCAATATTTCATTGAAATCAGATCAGTAGTTTAGGAGTTCATCGAACAAACAATGTGAGACGTAATTTTTATATATAAATATTATGTCAATAGTTTAAACGTGTACACTTTATTTTCTATAACTTAACGAAGTAATTTAATAATATTCCTTTTACAAAATCGAAACAACACGTGCGAACTTATTTATTAAATTATCATCGTTTCATAATACGTCTGCAAAATTACAAATTCAGGCGTTCGGAAGTGAGTGAAATATATACATAGGTGTACATAACATTCATACATACATATACAATACAGCTCATAAATCGTGTTAACAACAAAGAAAACGGCTCCGTGGCGAAGTGGCGTAGCAATGAGTTGTAGCGCAGGGGGCCGCGGGTTCGAATCCCGCACGGAACATGTATTTGTACGGCCTACAAATATGTGTTCCAGGTCTGGATGTTTGTCCTTGTGCAATTTATGTTTGTTAACTGCCTCCACGATACAGCAGAAAATCCTAGTGTGAGGATAACATTTAAAGAAAAAAATAAAAGACTGATATTCACTTATAACACAAGTTAAAAGTTAATTGTAGTCTTTGCATCTAGAGTTAACTGTTGAATGTAATTAAGAAGCCTACAAAGACATCCACAAAATACTTGCATCCATTAACTTCCTGATAAAGCTTCCTCATACGGCCGGCACTAAAGAGCTATATGTCGGTTGCTAAAACGACAATATTTTTTTCTTTGTCATCTCTCATCTCTTGTGAATACATCTATCTATAATGAAAATTATAATGAATCTTTTTGGCAACTGTTATATGAAGTTTGTGATCTAGCCTACAAAGTCATTATAGTCTTGTCTGTTCATGGTCCAAAAAATACATTTGGTTTTTGAGTCTGAATTTTCTGTCTGGTTTGTCAATATTTAAAACATCTGATCTCGAACCACTTCTGTTTTTTAACATTAAGATGCTACCGTATATAAACCGAACAGAACCTTATAGTATTTTTTGGTAATCCATATATCAAATAACTAAATATTCTTGATATACGATACGATGAACCATTAGCATTCATGATTTTAAAGTTAACACTGCTCGTATCCCCTCGCATTAACCGAGCGCGGACATTACCTGCTCACAGGCGGGGCCGAGTACTTCCGTTGGGGGAAGGGTCAGCAAATGCCACAAATCAATACACAAACTAAAAACTCATAAAATAAGTATGAAAAGTATAAAGTTGCTTCAGCGGTCAGTGAACCCGTCTCGGATATCCGTATGATAGTTTGTAAGCGACTTTACTGGCTTCTCTACAAATCACTTTGAACATAAATAGTGAGATAACTGGCAATGAATAATGTTAACTCTTTAGATATAACGAACGATACAGGTATTTTACTACTTGAGACTTAGTCACAATGCAATGTAAGGTAGATAGTAAATGTAACAATTTCATGCTAATGGATGCTTACTTTTGGACAGAACATTGATGCATTAAAATGACGCGTAAGCATTTCGTCTTAAACGCCAATATAGTGGATTAGGTAGAGGTAGACCTTTAAACTTACCACACTAATCTTAGATTAATGGAACTTTAGTAAAAAAATATCGAAATGAAAACAAAGCTTGCATTAAAATATATTATAAACATATTTAAAACCCGACTTTTGTGAATGGACATATCAACAACTTTGACAACTTCTCACGTACCTGCGCAATGCACTTGACTAATTTACGTGCAAGGCTACAGCGAAGTGGTGACAAATTGATGGCAGAATATTCATCTTAATAAAACCCAAATTTTACAGCCTGGTGTTGAGGTGCAGCGTTACTAGCACGAGGAGACCTTATGCTCACCAACCTATCGTCTCTTTAAAACTGTGAGTTTTCCCAGCCTATTAATGCATTTTTGGAAAAAAAAACTACCTTTGTGTCCGGAAAAGTGCACAGAACTTATATGTTCTCACAGTTATTTTCAAGCATCCTGTCATTTGGCACATGCCTCCTAAAATTGTCGAATGATATCACAATGATGAACACATCGAAATTTATCTGCAATGTGGAAACGTCTTAAAATTATTCTGCCACATCACCGATAGTAGTTCGAGGCGCCGTATAAATCCAGCAACTTGTACGCTGCCTGAAGATCGTGTTTCGAATAGCGAATATGCTTGTTTGATTAGCCAGGAAATGTTATCGTGAACATCTGCCAGTTAACTGGCGCCATTCAAGTTGCGCTTTGAAATTGAAACATGATGTAAATATGTTTTTACCTGATTGGCCAACAAGGAGGGTAACGTTTTTCGAGTGTATGTATGTATGTATGTCTGTCTATTTCTTTGGTATGCTCAGTAGCCTAACCGGCTTAACGGATTTTAACATATAGCATGTCGTTAGATTCGTCTTAGCATATAAAATTTTAGTATAATATACATTATTAATATATAATCTTTTTTAACCGTGTAGTGACGATGTGAGAATATTCTCTACCCCATATTGTCCCGTGGGTGTCGTAAGAGATGACAGAGGATAACGGAAACAGTAGATGGACAGCAGCGTCTTCCTGGTAATAACTAAAATTATAAAAAACTGCGTTTGCCAATCCGCCTGCCAGTCCTAACAGTTGTTGTAACTATGGCAAAATCCTCCCAATGAGGGGTAAGCTATGCGGGAGGCCTATGTTCACTAGTGGACTTTTAAAGGCTGTTATGTATGTATGTATATAACTTTTTATAAGGCTGTATACAATTTTTCTTTTTTTGTTATACTTTTTACGCAGTCGAATTTTTTTTTAAATTACTGTTCATCTTTGGGCTTATTGATATGAATAACGCCTCTTCATAGTGCTTTAGATTTCAAAATGTTCAAGGTACCTAAGCACAAGTGTGAGGATACAATGGAGATCGTTGGACGGTGCGGAGCGTTCAGCGTTAAAAACAAACACACTCTCATTCTATTAGTGTCCTGTCCACTTTTTTTATAGGATAGGGTGACGAACGAGCACACAGTCTACCGGATGGCCCAGTGACCCACAATAAATCTATCCTCAATAAATAACCAAAATGCAGATGCGTTGTCACCCGTGAGGACTAAGATGAAATGCCTCTTTTCCAGTAAAAAGGGTCTCTGGTTCTCTACACTAACCAACAACGAAACACAGCAGTGTTAAGCTGCTATTTTACGTTGGTATTCTGTGAGAGCGTGATGCTTCCCCGGTCGAGCCGACCCATTCGTGCTACAACTACTACTACTACTAATATCTAGCTTTGCGTGATCATAGTTTTGTTGTTACCATTATAGCCTATCAAAAACCACTGCAGAACATAGGCTTTCCCATAGATTGTTTCATAGGGAGATATTTACCAAAATGCCACGCTTACCATGCGAATTGTTGCCATAGATTCGTTGAGTAGCACATAAAATAACTTTTACATGTTATCATTGTTGATAAATGACGTCGTTTCATTTATGGCGAAGTAATAAAGTAATAAACAATGGTGAGGCGAGATCGGACACTTTGTGAAGTGTCCGCAACGCAGATGCGCTGTGAGCATTGAATCGATACCGCGGCAGTGCGGCTTCCGGGCTTAACTCGTCTTTGTTATAATGACTAAACAGACACGCGTTTCAATTCACAATGTACATTTTTTGTAAAACTGACTATTGACTACTGAAACGCGTTATAATGGGGTTGTTAATTCCGCGTAAAGAAAGAAAATGATGTGTCCTGTCCAGTTTTAAGGGGTCCTTCCACCCTCCTTCAATCGCTATACCCGTCGCTGTAAATCCCAGCACTACCATCCCCAGCACCACCACAATAGGCACGACACACCACTCTCGAAAATACGACACGTGTTTCGCCTCTACACAAGGCGTTCTCAGGTGAAGTAGACTTTGCGGAGGCTGGCCGCTAAGCTGCCATTTAGTTTATTTATTTAATTATCTGAAACGCGTTAAGCGCTCGCTGTAAATTTAACAGTATGCGAGCAACCCGGGTTCGATTCCGCCGGTACCAATAAAATTGCCAATTGAAATTTTAAGTGCTGATTTACCACGTGATAAAACACCGTGAGGAAACCTGCATGTCTGAGAAAAAGGAAAAAAAATTCGTAGACATGTGAAGTTCGCCAGTGGATTGTGCATTGCCTTGACATGGGGAAGTGGTGGACCACCATCCAGCAAGAGTAGCTCGATGAGACCCATAACAATATATATATCCTTAAAACAAGATTACAAGAACATCAACAATCTACTTACTTGTGTGGCATGTCTAAATAGATTGAGAATTTAGATGGTCCCATTTAAGTTTATTGATTGTGAGCTTCGGAGATCGAAAAAAAATTCGACAACAATAGTTTCCATTTATTCTAGTTTTTGTCGGTTTTTATGTTTAATATTTATCATATGCGCATTTTAAAAGGTATAAGTATTTTAAAAGGTATAAGTAATTGAAAATATTAAAATAATATCTATAAAACTTCTCGTAAGTATAATATATAATATCGTACACTAATGAAAAATAAATAAAGAACATTCAGTACTTCCTCCTAACGCCTTCTACTTTTAATATAAACCTAAGATGTTATATTAAAATGAACGATTTATTAATATTTTATAATTGTCACGCAAGCGAACTTCCAAAAGGAAATTGACTTCCTTAATTATAGTTATAAATAAATAATTTCTTATACTTTAGTGTGTAAATAAAGTTATTATAGAATTATATAAAGAAATTGGCATAAATTAGCGCGCTAGCGCCATGAATATTAATAAAGGCCGATCATCTGTACAAATAAATAAAATTGAAGTGTCTGTTTGTAATGTCA